TTATCACAACTATATTGAACCCCCCCCTTCGATTCCCCCAAGGTCCGCCTCTAAAGCCGCGTTTGCAAGAAGTCACCCCGCGGGCCCACTTTTTGCACCAAGATTCCAGCACCAGGATAGCCCTAAGTCAGTTGCTTTGGGTACATGCTGGGGTCAAAACACCACGTTTGTGAATCCCACACTGTTCTACACATGTACACACCAGAATCAACCCCATCCGCGTTGCAACAATGTGCTGCCCCCAGTTACACGTTGCCTCGCAAACCCCATAACCTGATATTTATACATATATCTAACTATATGTATGTATTTATATATATATATGTCTGTGTGTTTGTATGTGTGTCGTGTCCCCCCTCCCTGAAACCTACCTTTTTGGTACCCGCCCTCGAGTCCAAGCCCAGAAGACTTTTTTCGATATCCGCCCCAACTCCACCCACGTCCGTCCGCAGCGGATATGCCTCATTCCCTTGCTCTCTTCTCCTGTTCCAACCCACGCCTACCTTTCGATCTTTCACCCTTCCCTCTCAAGTTCTATCGCCTGTCATCCAGCTCAGCAATTCAGAACAGTACCAAGAGGAATGCCAAGCAAATTGCGACAATGATTTTTTCGGAGTCACAAACTGTGGTAGCACGAATAAGTCCGGGTCCAATTTTGTGCAGCAGCTACTGATATGATATATACATGTATATATATATATATGAGCGACAGCTCTTATTTGCGTATATGGAAAGTAGTATTCGGGCGTAGCCCGGTTTGTCAAAAACATCATATTTAGCTTGTAAAACGAGGTAGGAACACCCCGAGAACGAGGTAGGCAAAAACGTTACGGGACTGGAGAACGAGGTAGGAACACCCCGTCAATTGCGTTATGTAACAAATATGGTTCGCAGCTCATATATATATGGTTTACCCAAGTTTACCAGGTTCACCACTCAAGTTTCAGTCCTGGGCTGCAGAATGACAAACAAGAGCAGGCCATTTGGAAAACAAACACAAACATGCAAGGCAGCGCTTCCGCTACCTGCCAGCATAGCCTTCATTCTCATGTTTGGATGTGCGACTTGACTGCAGCGAATTGAGATCGGTGAGAGTTTGTGCTGACGAAGTGTGGATGGCATTTGAAGCTGTAGATCTGGAATGACTCGACATGACTCAACGATATTGATGAATCATGACTGCGACAGGTGATACTGCATAAGTTCGCGGTGTTGGCAGTTTGCGCCTAAATTGCTGCACCATCCTGCCCTGCATGCCATATCTTTTCATCATTTCTCATTTATTTCTCATCTATCACATCCATACCAGACTATCATGTATCATCAATTGCATCCATATAATATTCACACAGTGATTTTTACAGTACATATTTTAGTATATACACACTTCAATTATCTAATTGTTGTCAATTGATGAGGAAGTGCCAGCTGAATGGTTTTCAGGCCTCACTGCCTTTGCACAGACCGCCTCCGCGCTCACCTCGAGCTCAGCGATTTCACACGCCAAAGGCCTCAGCTTCTGATGTTACTTGACGACAAGGTAGAACTCTTGGAACTCTTGGAGCGAAAGTCTATGGATGAGATTTGTACCCTTTTTCAATGAGATCCCATGAGATTGAATTTAAGAGTCAATAGTTCACAGTAATTAATAGCCTAATGTACCCGATCTCAAGTCTTTCCTCTAATCACTAATCTGATGAAGCCATGTGTTGAGGTCCGACCCGCAAAAACTGGCAAGAAATTCTGCAGAGGCATTGTGCGGATGGCAAAAGGGCCCGGGCCGGGTTAAGGAGTTCAGTGAGTGTTGGTAGCGACCACTGAAAGCCGCAGTTCCGCTTGGCCAAGCCGCCTGAAATTGACAGTATGACTCAATACGCAGGCACTGACCACAATCTGTGTACTGGCAGTCTGGTGCGCCCAGCTAGGACCGATTTGCAATCCGCTTTGTGGGCCCACAAGTACAATGGTGCAGCAACTCATTGTAGGCATATGTAGGCATTCATGTGAAAAAGACAAGAAAAGGACGACAAACGATGGATATCGACGTGCTGCAAGGTACATGCGTGGAGAATTGCCATTTGTCGCGTTTTTGCCTTTCGGGATCGTGGGCGTTTGCTTTGTGCTTGCCTCATCTTGCCTCATCGCGGGCCTCAGTGACTCACTGTTTCCCGTGAGTTGACCTTGCAAATTCCACGAGGTGCTCAAAGTGTTCTCCTCCAGACTGTCTCTGCCTTAGCAGCCTTAGCAGCCTTAGCAGCCTTAGCAACCCAAATGAGGATTTCAAAAACCAGAAACAACCAGATTTTGAAGTTCTCCTGAACGGCTGAAACGATTGAATTGGAAAAGCTCGCTGCGAGATACGAGCACGTGAGCAAGAAACGTTTTTGTATCTCACAAACAGTGCATTCTGGCGTCCTTGACACCATCACACTGGGGAGCAGAGTAATATATAACTAATATTATATTTATTAATTATTAATATTTTGAAATTAAATGAATTGAATATTACAGCCGTCATTGCGCTCTTTGCAAAACACACTATCGTATCAAACGGAGCACATCAAACGAAGCATTGTAACTTTTACCGATTTTGTCTGTGTGATCTGGACATTTTTTGAAGGAGTTGGTCTTCTCTGTGCGTGCTGACTCGAGCTGTCCTGAGGCGAAGCATTGGGATTCACTGTTTGAAGTCAAGCGCACTGACGCCATTACGCTTTTGCAATCTTTTACACCTCATTCTCTAATTCCCCGGACTCAGCACACTCTTCTTCCCCGGGCAGTGTTTCTGTTGCCTGAATGACTCAAGGTATCTCAAGATTGAATCAGAACTGTGGCCACGGTAGAGTTTTCTGTCAAGTGCCCTGTGGTTGCAGATGTTTGCTGCTGCCTGTCATGCTGCTTCGACACGTGACCCTGTCCTTGCTGGATCCACGCTGGGCTTAACTCTCAGCTTCAAATGCAACGGTGGCCTTCACATGTCATCTAGATGTCATCAAGAATCACCCAAGAACTGCGATTGACGCCCTTGCAGTCTTATCACTCTAGGCTGTCGAATCACCCCTCATACAGACAAGATGAACGAACTGTCTATGGCCTTTACAAGCCTTTACAACATTCCACAACATCGGTGTGTTCTTGCCATGTGTTGTTTGACATGCATGGCATTAATGCTTGTTTGTTTCGTTGCCCTAGTCCAAAACAAGGTCTTGCAGCTTGTGGTAGCCTCAGCATCTACCAGTACCAGTACCTCTCTATTTTTGTTTTAATATTTCAATCTGCTGCACATAGATGAGTCCCAATAAAGGCTTGCTTTTCCCGAGAGTCTCATTCGGAGCAGTCAGTTGAGATTCAGAGTCAAGCAGACTGGGTATCGCGTCAACAAAAACAGCACCCCCCTTCAAATTGTCGTTGTTTGACAATTCTTGCCAATAGCTCGGAAGACCATGCAGAGGACAGTCTTCTGGTTGTTGATCCAGGTTGTGACAATTGTGCCTGATTGAATTCTATCTATTCCCTTTCTCATCCTTTCTCGTCTTTAATGTAACTTTTCTTGTCTTGCTACTTGTTCATGGTTGTATCGAATCATAACGGTGCTTGTTGGTGAGTAAACTGAGTAAACCTTTGGCCCAGGTGCACCCTTTGGGAGCAGGTTCCCATGCGCTCTTGGTCCTGGGGACTCTTCTTTTGATGCTATGCTCGTGCGCACCCAGCTGGGCCTGACCGGCCTGACCCTGCACAGATATCAGCCTGCACTTCAAATGGATTTTTGTTGCAAAACAATGAAACACAAACTTTACACGTTTGCAAGCTGTCATTCTGCGACAGACTGGAACTTGCAGCTTTTCTGATCAAGACTAGCTCTGACAGAAATACTGAGCCAACCAGGGTCATGTGATTTAGGTACATGTCGGCAACATGACGACAATACAAGTGTGTTGCTACAAAGTGGAACGTTGGAGCTGTCAGGTGTTGCACATAGGTCCCGTTGAAACGAGCAAGTTAGGGACGATGGTAGACTTGGGTTTGCATTGAGTTGTGAATCAGGCTGGGCGGGTAGTTGCCGTTTAAACGTTTGGCCATTTCCAGAATGATTTGATATCTTTTGAATTAACGTGGCGGGCGTAGCAAAATGTTTGATTTGATTTGATTGTCGCTGATGCCGCCTCTGCTGTTGTCAGGTAGAGATGGATCGAGAGGAGATGCGACAACAGGGCATGCGGCCAAAGATGTTGGGTGACCTAGAAACAGATAATACAAGAGAACAATACATGATAATACAAGATAATACACACCTTGACTCATTGATAGTACTCGATGGCTTTCCGTTTCGTCTCGCAACCACCATCTTTGCAAGCATCCTTTGGCTCACCTTGCTGCATTGTTTGCGACTGGCTGCAGCATTGTCCTGTAGTCTAAGATTGCCTAGTGAAACTCGAGAGGCCTGCATACGACGAGACACCGCTATGTTCTGTCGGAAAGGTGGTCCGTGCCGGGGCCTTTCTGTTTGTTGAAGCATGTTGAGGCTGATTATTCACATTTATTCACTGTATAGACTCAGATGGAAACTGCTTGAACACAGACAACAATTGAGCTTGAACAAGTCGCACCAGAATGGTTGTACTTCCATCGTAAAGTATGTTGCATTGACGGCAAACTTGCCTTTGGCGTGAGATATGAGATCAGTAATACTGTAAATAGTTGGTTTCTTCATTTGGATCATGTGGTTGAAGTTTGCCGCAAGGTGACTTTACCTTCTGGGCAACTGCGCCGGGCAATGGTGGAATGCGTGGAAGAGAATGAAGACACGGTGAGGAACTTGGCATTTACAAGCTGGGAGATGTCAAGATGATCAAGATATATCAAGATGGCGATAGACGTCCTTTTATTCAGAACAAATATCATACTGTACAAACTTGAACTTCGGATTTGCGCAGCTTGAGTGAACTTTTGCCCCGGTATCTTTGCACTGATTTTACAAACTCATGCCAGTAGAAAGTTGACATATTCCTGCTGAGAAAGGCAGCATCTACAATCTACATACCTTCAAAACAAACTGAAACAATTCTAAGTCTACCTTCAGAAGCCTTAAGGCAGGTACTCGTAGCTACAGTCCCAGTGACCTATACCCTACTGAAGACAGCCTTGCAACAAATGTCAAAAGAAAGCAGCTTTCAGAAGATGTAAGAATCTGTGCCTCGGCTGGGAAATGTTGGGATAAGATCAGGAACATATTGCAGGGACAAAGCAGTGCCAAAGAGTGACTTGTTTCTGACGTTTTTTTTCGTGATCGTCGCCTCCAACATACGAACAGATTCCATTTCTAAACGGCAGTCCATCAATGAACAGATGGACTATCATATTATGTCTATGTCCAGCCCCTTCAGGTAGATGTGGCATATATTGATGCTGCTGAGAAGGACAGATTCATTTCCTTGTGCGCAGTGAAGCTGCATCAATCACATCATACTCGTACGCAGCAAACTATGAATTGGAGAATTCCTTGGCAAGCTTTGGCTCCCAAGGCCACATCCCAAGATATCACAAAAAAGTCTTGCTCCCTATTCATGCCACACAGGATCAAAGTGATGCTACAGTGCCGACTTCATGGTTGAGGCGTGAAGGAGGGAAAACGGGAAAGATGTGCAACTGGTCCAGTTAAAGGAGAAGAGCAAGTTTGCAGGATCTTGTTCTGTTTTGTCGCACCGAAGCTAATCAGAATTGAATCAAACCTGGCAACGCTGCACTTTCTGAATCTTTCTGGCATGACTTGTGTGACTTGTGAGGCCGTTGGAGCCAGGCGAGTTGATTTTCCTTGAGCCCAATGCGTTTGCAAACCGTTTGGAGGGTGCTACGAATGCCAAGGCGCAACTTGTGGACACCAGCTGGACACGATTTTCGTGTCTTTTGCATTCTTTTGTACTGTATAGTACTGAGATGTACTAAGTATTATCAAGATTTATTTAAGATTATTTAAGTATTTGACGATATTGATGTGTTTGTTCAGTTTGGTCATGGGATGTTATGGGCTAAGCTGAAAGGAAGTGGGCAACGTGCTCTTCAAGCTGGGTGATGTGGAGGCCACGGTCAAAGATCCTGAATTTTCACCTTGGAATCACCCTGGAACCACCTTGGATCGATTAGAGGTTTGTGAAGGGATCAGACCTGGCAATCGAAATGAGGAAATGTCCAGTCACAGATCATACCTTAATGATATTGAAATTGAATGAAATTGACATGAACAAATTGACACGAGGCGTTTCCCAACTTTTTTTTCAAAAGATCGCAGGCCGCAGCTGACCTCTATGGGCGTGCATTAGAGGCTTTGGAGCGTGCGCCCTGTGCTCGCAACACTTGGATTTTGGCCAATCGCATCTTGGTAGATCTTGGCAGATCTGGATGAATTCTGGATGTTGTGCAAGAGGCGAAAGGATTTGATTTTTCAGGGTGCCGTTCACTGCTGTTTATGTCATTTACATTCTACATTTCCCGAAAGCTGCTTTTCTGATTTTTTCTGGTTCCCCAAGAAACCAAAAGGAAGTGCACTGTCAACATCAGGGGATACTGGGCCTTGTAAGAATAGTCACAGTCCTTTCTTCTGGTGCAATGTCCATCCTGCTTCGCATTCTGGCTAAGGACATGGGATGCTTTTGCCAGGCAAAGTTGTTCTGGTAGATGACTCAGGCAAAGCCAACGTAGAACTACGAAGCGAAAAGTCTGTGGAGGCCAGGGGGGATCATACCGCTCAGAGGGCGATATCAAGCAGATCAAATGTATTCAAATGTCATGCTAGGTGTGCATCAAGCTGGCAATCCCAGCCTGCAAAATGTGTGATATGTGAAGTGTGTTTTGGCTTTGGGTGACGTGTCCAAAGATGGTGTATTGAGAGGTGTTGCGACAAAACATGTGAGTGGGTAGACTCTGATAGACCAAGAGAGCAGGGGTACGACCTATACCGTTTCAATCCGTTTCATTGATTTGCTTGAAGCATCTTGAAGCTGCTTGATGTTGAAAGATGTTGAAAGGATTCCAAATCCTGAGAGGTGGTTCGCGGGATTCCGCAGAATGCCTTGATTGGCGTGCAGCTGGAGCATCTTTTGTTGCAGGCACTGTTATCCGGGGCGTTATGCCTGTAGTTTGTTATCGTTCGCTTATGGATTGCTTATGGGGTGTTCCCTTTGGAGATCACAACCTGCAGGGCAGCCTTCACTTGAATCGCTCGCGAGCATTAACGCAGATGGGTCAGCAGCAAGAGGCTGCCCAGGACACTGCCTGTGCACACATTGGCAGTAGATTTTTGCGGGATCCTTGTGTGGGCTCTTCCGTTGCGTGTAAATACAAAGGTGATCAAAGGTGATAGGCTACAGGAATGACGCGTGAGAGGATCCACAGCATAATTCGTTCCAAGTGACAACAGCTGAATAGAACGATTTCAGTTTCAAGAGATTGCAGGTCTTGCAAAATGCCAGATTCGTGCATGTTCATGTTCTTTCATTGTCGTTTCGGAAAGAGGGTCGAGAAGATGCAGCGTTTTTAAATGTATCGATCTTGCCTGCGGATATGCCGTACAGAAGGCAATGTAATGACATGCAATAGCTGTCAATTCAATAGCTACTTTGATGCACTATTCACAGCTTCCATCGGCTTCACCAAAAGTGCTTGCAAGATCTTGCACAGGATCTCTCGGTGGTCATTGCCCTATGGGCAGCGTATTCGGCCTCTGGAAGTTCTATGCAGACGGAGTGTAAAGAGCAGCTGATCAAGGCGCAGAAGCTCTGTTCAAAATGGAAAAGATCTTCGGCATACTATGGCATACTGAGACACTGCATTTTTCTGCCCTGCCATATCTACCCAAGGGACCAAGGGACCAGGCCTGTATTTTGTTGCCAGTCCTCCGAAAAGAATTGGTTGAGAACAAATGGCATTGACAATACAGCACAGATATGTTATGAACTTATTGTCACATCTTCTCTGGAGGCATACTACTTGCGCGCGAAAACACGAATCTCAAGGTTCTGAACTAAGCTCTGCGTGACACTGGATCATTGCCTCACTACCGCATTGCTGAAGAATGTGTTTTGCAGGTCCACTCTGCCCCAGACTGCCTCCCCTATTCTTTTGATTTCTTTTGGGTCTTTGTTTTCCAAACTTCCTGGATCTTCCTGGTACCTTGCTCGATCTTGCTCGATCTTGCTCGTTTCTTCCTGCTTTGGCTTCGTCCGATTCGTCCAGAGTCACACAGGCAGCGCCCCGAGCCAGCGCGGGCAGACATTCGTAGTGCTTGGGCAGTAGGACCGAGCACTGCGACTGCAGCGCTACTTCGCCAGGCTGGTGCATATGCTAACGAAGACACCTTCAAAGTCCTTCAACCCGGCTTCAGCCTTCAAATTTCCTCTGTGGTCCTCTATGTATTTCATATTGGTAGTTCCATTGATGTTAATGCAATTGGCTGCATTACTTGCAATTCCCTAGATGGTCCTAGATCCATTTTGGCAATGCTCCGCACAAATAGAATCGAAACCCGGAGTTTCTGAAGTCACAAGCCGATTTTTGAGGCAGAGCGCGATGTAGAGATTATGGAGAAGGAGAAGGCTCTTATGGCTGCATATGGCTGCCACTTCAGTAGTTCTCTTGCCAAGAATGGGTCAGAAATGCCTGCACAGGTGAGAAGCAATAAAAAGCTGGCCAAGGACATTGCAAATTCATCGTGACGTTGAGAGCGCTGCGATACATCTTAATGGGTTGCTGGTAGTACTTGATACTGTATATACATTCTGAGACATTGTTCCAATATGTTGCAATCATGTTACCTTATAATATATCTTCACAGTTTTGGACACGAGCTTCGTTCAATATTCTTGAATCTCTGGGACTTGACTGTGAACTGCCTAAGAGGAAATTGCAAAGCTGGCCGATGTCGCTATGTCAGGTAAGGGCACGGTGCAGAGAGCCGTGAGTGACTGTGCAAGATGCATTCCAAAGATTTCAAAAGTACAAGTAGGTTGACCAAAACCCATGCAAAACTGGCCTATGCAATCAAGGCTTGGATGAAGAGCAGCTTGCATCATTTGGTGGCAAGCAGTCCTGAGTCACCAGATCGGTGGGAGTCTCTTTTCGGATTCTTGCGAGTGTGTCTCGCAGTGGCATTGGTCTAATGAGGGCTTTGTGGAGAGGAGTCACTCTGCAGTGCAGTTTCTTGTACCATGCGCCCGCCTTCGGACGTCCAAAAAAGATCAAAAAAGTCGTTTTTTATCGTTTTTTGTTTTATTTGAACTCTTGCCGTGGTGGGAGCTCTTGTAGTTGTTGAGTCTGTGGAGGGGTTCTCAAGGATCCCGCAGAACGGCAAGTTTGCAACTACATTGCTTACTTCTGGTGGAGCTTTACGTGAACAGGGGTCTTCTGCTGTGTTTGGTCTATGGATGTGTTGGCCAGATCATGCCACATTTGGATACATTTGGAAAAGGCGAGGCAAACAGGAAAGGCTGCAAATGGATGGCCTGCAACCGCCGCCACAGGCTCGCAAAGCACGAGCCTGAGCATATTAATTAATTAACAGAGCATGAAGCATGAAGCAAGAAGATGGAGTTTGACGTCCCTTCAAAAATTAAACTATGGATAGCTATGGTGCAAATATCTCGAGTTGTCCCATTTCGATCTATACAGATCGATCCTCTATTCCATATCGATCTTCAAATTGCAACAAGACTTGAAGATCTCATTTTCAAACTGATTCTCAAACCGTGTTGAAGGCATACGGATTAATGATGATTAATGCTTGTCAGATATTCGACAACAATATATACTGGTTTCAATCTGGTTTCGATGGGAAAACTGAAATCCTGCCACAGAGACTTGGTCTGCAGTTTGGGAAGCGGAGCACTGACTTTGCCATTTGTGACTCGTTGTGATATGTCTTTTGTCTGGTCCCATTCGACATATTGGACCAGGACTGGAGCATCTCTCCGCAGTGCTCAAAGTCCTTGGTGAAGAGCCCATATGGCAGGATTTGCCGAATACACAGCGATCGTACACTTGCAAGCGTTGCTTGGCTTATTGTGGTTCAATTATGTTAATCTCTTGGTTCGTTTTGGTTTCAATTCCAGGCGCTCCTGAGTCTTAGTCAAAGGAATTGATAGATTGTCCATGATTGTCCTCACAGCACTTACATCACCAGACTCTGTCGAAAGCCTCAGCAGTTGCTCAGGCTGGAAAGCGACGGCAACTTGTTCGCCCATGAGATTTCCTTTCACCTTGCTGAAGAAATCAGAATAGAATAAAACAAAGGATGGCCCTGTAGGTTTGGAAGTAAAAATACCAGTAGAAGCAAGGCCTCTATATAGACGTCTCGGTAACTCTTTGACAAAACAGGTGTTGACATTGGGGGGGAACTTGGATGAACTTGGTATCTGCGATGCTGCCATCATAAATCACCAGGCAAGCGGCAAGCGGACAAAATCAGCCCCGATCCACTTGGTGCGGCGTAGGATCAAACGAGCAACCACATTTACCCTCTGGTAAACTAACATAGCTATTGAAAATGGCCATTTATAGTGGATTTTCCCATTAAAAATGGTGATTTTCCATAGCTATGTTAAATTACCAAAGGGTATTTGGTACGCTTGAAAGATCTTGAAAATAGTCTTCGGAGGCAAGCAGGTCTTGCTCAGGATCTCTGACGTATCAGGATTCTTTTTGTCAGAACAAGTCAGAACTATGTAGGGGACTCCAAAAACGAAAAGGAAACAGTTTTCTCAGAATACTATAGAAGTGTCTTTGAAAAAATAGGTGGAACTCTTGTAATTTTCGTTACTTCACACAGTTGCCGCATAAATTTCGTCACTCAAACATGTCACATCAATGGTGCAGAATGCATTGCACCTGATAAGACACACGCGCACACAGGGGCGCTGTAAACATGAACACTTACATGAAGACTAATTTACTAAGAAACCCGAAACCAACTACTACTAACTAAGCCCCTACTTGTAGAGTGCCTGACCCAGATAGCTCAAGATCCAAGGTGAGTCACTACTCCAACAAAAACACGATTTTGGTGCAGGCAGTTACTTATTGCAGTTGGAAGCAATATACAGTATTCATTTTTGCCTTGTTTGCTCTATGTATCACTTGAACTATGGCTTGCAGCGTGTCTTCGAACAAAAGCTGCGACCACAGGGCAAAGATGTTGACGTTGCTTCGAAAGAGCTGGAAGCGGCCCTGGAGGATCAATGGGGTGGATGGACGCTTTCAATGTTGAGCAAAATACAATATCCAAAGCACGATGGACATCCATGGACTGCATTCCGAACCCGCTGAAGCATGTTTCATTGAATAGCACTGACACAGCGCCAGAAGTCAGCTTACTGAAAGCACTGAATTTGTTTGTTTCACAGCCATGAATGTGACAGGCAACACCTGATCTGGGCTCTCAATCTCAGGTGCCTAGTCGTCGCAGTTAAGTATGCCCTTCTTGTGGTTGCACCTGCTTGCACTATGATGAGCTGTGGATTGTCAGAAGCAGCATTCAGTTGCAAGTCGCATGTCATTCACCACGGCGGCTAGTCCTATCTGGATGTATATATTATATATAATTATATATATATATTGATATTATCCAAAAGTCATAACTAGTTCATTAAATATTTACATAATGAATAATATATTCAATATATACTCTACGCATATTATATTGTGTAAATAGCAGTGATATCGTTGATTTTAGTTTGCATTCAACGCCATTGCAGTCTGCGGAAGATGGGGTTCAGGCATGTTCAGGCTTTCTATTTACATTTGAATTTGAAGCCAACTCTGAACTGAAGCCCTCTGTGTTCCTTGAACATTTCATTCACGCAGACACGCTCATAGGCGCACACTGCTCAAAACATAGTCACACGAAGTGGCATGTTGGGAGTTGAATCCCACACATGCATGACATGCTACAAAGAATGATGAAAAGGATACTGTAGTGAAGATGAGAAGCCTCTGGAGCCTGAAGCCTTATTTACACTGTTACACCTGATTAGAAGAAGTAGCGAAAGTGCAGCCCCAAAACTAGTTCAGTCCGGAGGGTTCACACATGTTACACAGACGTGAACTTTCTTGATCTCACATGAAAGGGCGATTGGGGCTCATCCTCATAAATGTACATTGTAAGATATTGCAACATATTGCAATGGCTACTTGGACGTGGCATTGTCCACTCATGGGTGATACCTTCTGCGTGGATGGTTGAGTATGTTGCAACGTCGATCCACCAGTCACCAGACATGCAACACTGCCTTAGAACAAATGGATTGATATATTATATATGAGCTACAGCCAAAAATTAGGTTAATGGAGAGTAGTATTCGAGACATTTTTATTCCCAAAAGCATCTCCGATGCTTGGGTTCTCGTTTAGTTGCACTCGCCGCGGGGGAGCGAGACTGAGTGGTCGACGGAGATGTGTTGGAAGGAAGGAAGGAAGGAAGGAAGGAAGGAAGGAAGGAAGGAAGGAAGGAAGGA